GGGTGGGGGAACTGCTGAATGGTGAGCAGAGTTTCAACAGACCACAGAGAAATTGAAGCAGAGACATTGACTACGCACAGGTCCTGGAGGAAATACACATCACGGTCTCGAGGGGCCACCCAAGGAGGTCAAGGCAGAGTGCAGACAGGCAGGACCTGGTCACCTGCCTTTGTTAGGGTCCGTGGGTGGCGTGCTTTGGGGTCCTGGGCTAGGGCTGGATCGGTCTACTCAGACCAGAAGAGCGGGGAGAAGCCACGTGGGCGCTGGTCACGAGGGCGGCCGCGACATCCTGGGAGCTGCCACTTGTCATCACTCTGGCTGCTCCTGTCCTCCCCAGGGCCTGCGCTCCCCTGAGGATCCGTGCAGGGGAAGGTCTCTGCAGGCTGCTGGGCGGGACAGAGTGGCCACGAGGCCGCAGTCCCGCGGGGGGTGGAAACACATCAGTGAGGCTGTGATGCCAGAAAGCTCACAAAGGGCTGGGGTCTGACCCAGAGGAGGGGCCTGTTCTGGGTTTTCTTCAATTCTGTATTTGTCTCTTCGGCAATCCGTTCTTCACGGGGCCAATTATATTAACTGTATTTTCTTATTTTTTGTACCCTTGACGCTCTGGCCTTTGGGGCCCTATAGGCCCCGGGAGAGACTGCCCTTCCGAGGCTAACCAGTTCTTGGAACAGCAGAGAGAGCATGTCTCTTACCTGCAAACCGGCCGGTCCCCAACCACTTCTCGTCTGACTCTCACTCCGGCTCCCAGCAAGCCCCGGGCCTGGACCTTTCCTCCCCGCTGTCCAATCCTACCCTTTGCAGGGCTGACTCTTCCCAGCACCCCTTCCCCAAGGTTACACTCCGGCCCCGCCCCAAGCTGGACCAGGCGAGCCTCATCCGGGTCATTAGTGGCCTGGGCACTTTTCCTGGGGAGCACCTGCTAACCGCTGCAGTGTAAGCAGATTCTGCAGTCGCTTGCATGAGGCTCGTCTGGAGAGCAGAAGCCCCGTGAGGGCAGGGCCCTGGCCGAGCCTCTGCTGGGCATGGTAAACTGTTGTTGCTGAGCGGGGCTCGGGGCTGAGAAGGCTTTGGGTTTCTCAGCAGCGAGGCGGGCCTGGTAAAAATAAGCGGTGACAATCCTCTGGGGTTCTCAGCTCCTGTCCTCACCACCCCCGCCCCCCGCCCCCTGCTCTCCAAGGCCGCCCTCCTTCCCCACCCCCTCGGCCCACCCAGTCGCCT